TATAAAAAAATATCATGATGCTGCTATGCTTAACCCCTTAAGGACTGAGCCAAATGTACATGTGATCAAAACAAACGTAAACAAAACCTGGCATTTGCGCTAGATGTCTGTCCGACCGTCATTCACCTCTTTCATATTAAATGCACCCACACTTATTATATATCATTTTATTTAGGGGAAACAGGGCTTTCATTTAACATCAAATATTTAGATATGAAACATAATTTAATACGAATAAAATATAAAAAAAATGGTAGAAAATAAGATCAACTGTTAATGTAAAAATACTGTTTGCTTTTACTGCAATAAAATACACATATTTGTATTCAGTGATGTCTCACGTGTAAAACAGTACCCCCTTTGTACAGGCTTTATGGTATTTGGGGAAGTTGCAGGGTCAAATATAGCACATTGCATTTTTCATTTTATTAACATTAAAATTCGCCAGATTGGTTACGTTGCCTTTGAGACCGTATGGTAGCCCAGGAATGAGAAATACTGTAACGGATCACCTGGCACCCCGACTGGGTACCTCCGTTGAAGGATGCTCCTAGCGCTTCCGGAGGACTCCAAGCACTGCAGCAGACACCACAACCACCGAACCAGAGAAGCATACGAATGCTCTCAAGCATATGAATGCTGTAAGCAGCTGAACAGGAAAATCACAATCAGCTTACACTCCTGGCAATCAGCATACAATCCAATTCCCGCAATAACGAGACGACAATTCGTTTTGAGGTCAAGCAGAACTGACTGTACTGGCACATACAGCCTCTTTTATTCACAATCCACAAACATAGTACTGCCCACAGGGTTTTGAAATACAACCAATCAATCCGTACAATACACACAGACACTCCCACACAAAATCTTCCCCTCTGCCTGTGATATGATTACTGAACATAATGGTTAATATAATTATCACAGGCAGAGCAATACAGTATTATAAAACATATCACAGGGAGCCCAAAACATGCAATAACCCCATATCCTCGGAACCGGGGGATCTGGGTGAACCACATATCCAAAATTCACCCAGATCCGTTCAGGTGTTTGGAAGATACAGTTTAATGCAGATTCTGCAGAACATATACAGGCTATATGAAAAATAATTACTGTTAAATGTGTCCCCTGTTCTATAGTTTAACACTACTGCACGATGTCTTTGTGCACCAAATACCGGCGAGATGGCACCGTGTAGAAAAGTCCAAACAGTGTCTGTGAGTTAAAATGGCCGCCATCCATTGTTCTCACCATGTGCTTCTGATACATGAAATGGTGGCCACCCAGTAACTCCACAGAATGTCCCCAGATGGTTCTTAAAGGGTCAGCAGCAGTATAATAAAATCAAGTATGCCCACATCAGTTCCTAGAAGGGTAATACATCCCAGGGCCATAGTCGCAGGGCAGGAGGCTGGCAAACAGGCCCCTCCAAAAACCAGTGGCGAGGTTACTTTCGCCACAAGAACCTATCCTACAGAGGCACCCAGTTTACAGCTGAACTAACGCAGCAGCTATGGCAGGTCTGCAAGATCAAGTCTCTCTTTAGCTCTCACAACTACTCAACAAGTTTCTCTTTAGCTCTCCCTACTACTTCAACAGGACCCTCAAACAAATGCTTAAAACCTTTACACAGGAGTATAGGGACTGGGAACGCTTCCTACCGCACCTCCTGTTTACACATCGGGAGGTCCCCCAGGAAACGACAGGATTCTTTCCCTTTGAGCTGCTCTACGGACGCAAGGTATGGAGACCCCTAAACCTGATCCGGGAACACTGGGAAGGAGAGACCGAGAATGCCGGAGTCCCCATTGTACCATACATGCTGGAACTCCAGGACCGAATGGAGCAACTAGCCAAATCCGTTCAGGCTAACCTCCAGTTGGCCCAGAGAAGACAGAAAGTATGGTATGATTGGGGAGCACGGAAAAGGACCTTTGCCATAGGGAAAAAGGTGTTGGTGCTTAAACCGGTTAATACAGATAAACTACAAGCCTCCTGGCAAAGTCCTTACCAGGTTGTAGAAAAGAGGGGAGACATCACCTACATTATAGCTAGCTGCCACGACGACAATCTTAGGAAAACCTTCCACGTTAACATGCTCAAAGAGTACTTAGAGAGACCAGAAAACGTGGCAGCTGTCTGTTGTCCCCCACACAAAGACCCTGACAGCCTACCGATCCCGGACTTATTAGAGAAGACCCCCTATTCGGATCTAGTGACCCAGGTCAAGATAGGAGAATGACTTAATTCCACTGAGAGGGAGCATCTCAACCAGCTACTCCAAGCCAAATGCTCTACCATTTCCCAAAAACCCAGGTACACTACCCTGATGACTCACAAGGTGGATACCCCAGGGCAGCAACCCCTAAGAAAGGTGTGGAATTAAGTCGGCCCCCTACAGAATCCCAAGGTAGTTAGAACTGAAATGAAGAAGGAGATCAACGAGATGCTCCAGCCAGGGGTTATTGAGCCTTAGTCCATGGGCTTCTCCAGTAGTCCTGGTACCCAAGAAGGATGGAACTACCCAATTTTGCGTGGATTATCGGAAGCTCAATTACAAGACAGTGACTGACACCTACCCTATGCCCAGAGTAGATGAGCTACTTGATCGTATAGCCAGGGGAAACTACCTAACTACCATTGACCTCTGTAAAGGTTATTGGCAAATTCCCCTGGCCCAGGACGCTATCCCCAAGTCGGCATTCGTCACCCCGTTCGGCTTATACCACTTTAAGGTAATGCCGTTCGGGATGAAGAATGCCCCCGCCACATTCCAGCGCTTGGTGGATAGACTCCTGGATGGCTTCCAGGGTTTTGCCTGCGCATACCTGGACGACATAACGATCCACAGTGAGTCCTGAGAGGAACACTTAGCTCATGTATGTGGCAAAACTAGCCACTTAAGACTATAGTTGTATGAATATGTTTCTATACCTTTAAAGCTGTTAGAACCAAGTGTATTCATGTATCTGCATTTCAGGCGAACAAGGGCATTCGTATGTTGGCGGCATGAAAACCCCCAGCATTCATACTGTAGTTTCACGAACAGTGCATTTCAACACTGTTTGTGAAACGAATAAACTACCGAATGGGCGACCACACACAGGAGGTTGTGTGGCGCCCATTAACTGTTTGCAACATTGTTGCAATCGGTAGTTAAGTGCTTTCCTAGGTGGCCGTCGTTCGGCTACCGACAACGTGGCGGTCGGCCATCTTGGATCCTTAGTTAGCCCAGCGGTATTTGGTCGTCGAGCACCTGGAACTAAAATCGGCTACTCGGCGGCACGAATACCGCTGGACTTCAAGGCCGTTCGGGAGCCCCGGGCGTTCGGTAGTTTGTTCCCTTAATGTCAATCGGTACTTTGAATGTAACTTGATTATAATGGGTGTTTCGCCCGGCATTCGGTTAGATATGCTGGGATCTGAGCGGTATTCTCACGGACTGTATGCCCAGACCCTGGCTATCTACCAAATGTCCATTCGTTTAATTAGAGTGAATAATGTGAAAGTTATAGATTTTAATGCGAAATATTGGTTCTGCTGCATGGAGGGATAATCCACTTAACTGTATATTCTAGTGGGAGTATCCCTCTCGTCCAGCAGTGCATGATGGGAGAAATGTCCAGGTTGTTAAGTCCCCCATGTAGTCCCCTACTGTATAACCCTTGCAATGTCAGTAGGGAAACCCCTTGCATGGAGACTTGCATAAATACTGTGACCTGTGAATAAAACCTCAGTTGACTCCCAGCCTATGTGTCGTCTAGTTCTTGGGAGGGAAGGATTCTTACAACGCTACCAGGATTGTTGCATGCTGTATTTATTTACCTGGATTATTTTATGCTGTTCCTGTTACCCAGCGGAGATACTGTGGATTATACTACCTCTCCGCTACAATGTAGGAATGGTCCTGGATTAGATTCGGGCCGCTGGCCTGACGCTGAAGCCAGAAAAATGCTGTTTTGGTACAGTACTTAGGTCACAGAGTGGGGTGTGGAAAACAGCAACCGGAGCCGGCTAAGATAGAAGCCATTGCCAATTGGCCCACCCCCACCACTAAGACCCAGGTCCTAGCCTTCCTAGGCACAGCAGGGTACTACAGGCCATTCGTACCAGACTACAGCACTATTGCCAAACTGTTGACCGACCTAACTAAGAAAAACCTTCCCCGACAGGTCCTTTGGTGTCCCCACTGTGAAACTGCTTTTCAGGCTCTTAAAACTGCCCTTGTTAACGCTCCTGTTATGGCGGCCCCAGCCCTTAACAAACGTTTTATCGTCCATACTGATGCATCCATGTTCGGGCTGAGGGCCGTCCTCTGCCAAGTAGGTGAAGATGGAGGGGAGCACCCGATTGCCTACATCAGCCGTAAGCTCCTACCACGCGAAGTCAGCTATGCCACAGTGGAAAAGGAGTGTTTGTCCTTGGTGTGGGCACTAAAGAAACTGACTCCCTACTTGTATGGACAAGAGTTCACTCTGGTTACAGACCATAACCCATTGGTGTGGCTAATCCGGGTCTCTGGTGACAATGGCAGACTTTTACGTTGGAGCTTATCTTTACAGCCATTTAACTTACTATTACATACGGACCCGGAAAGCAGAATGTCAACGCCGATGGGTTATCCCGACAAACAGACCTCAGCCCGGCACAACCACCGGTCTGGACAGCCTTAGTCTGCCCCAAAAAGGCCAGAGTGTTCCACAAGGAGGGAGCACTGTTACAAAAGCTCTACAGACTGTTACAATATTGTTCTTTTCTGTTTCCACACAGAACCTTGTTTCGGTATTTTAACTGTGTAACCTAATCCCCGAACCAATTTCCCGTTACCCATTCTGTGTATACGAACAACGGACCAACCGGCCCCTGGCGTGTGCCACCCCTTAACCCTTGTCACCTCTCCAATACCCGAACAGCCGACCACCCTACGAGCAGAGCATGTCTCTAATTAACCGCCAAGGGAGCTGCGTTCTGCGGTTAACCACAGCCCAATTGACGGTCCCAGGGCATTCCCGTTCGTGCACTATCTCCCGAACTAAAACTACCGAAAGACTCGCGAACGAGGACCACCTACATCTTGGCATATGGCCCCAATTAGAACGTTGGTTTTGCGGTTAACCGCAGGTTAAGTACCCCTTCCCGGTGGTCTCCGTCCATTTTCCGAACGGCTGGGACAACCATCAGGAGAGCGGGGATTCGTGTAAACCTCTGGCCGCTACTAGTTCCATGAGTTTGGGGTCGAGGTCCCGCTGCCCATTAACTCACCTGAAAATATGGCCGCCGTCTCAGGTTCGGGACAAAAGACACGAACAGACTTTATATTGATGAAACTAACCATACCGTTCGTGAGTTCTGAGCGCTATTTGACTTTCTCCTGCGCTCAGATCTGGGCTACATAATAAACGGTAAAATGCACAAATTGTCTATTAAAATGCTAAAGTTATGTATTTTTATACTGTTTTGTATGTTGCAAGTAAATGTGAGATTTTGGGCGCTTGGAGATAATGACATTGTCATAACTGCTGGATTCATTATCTCCAAGCTGGATGGGAACAATTTGAAAAGATACATTGTATTTCTATTGGTTAACTGCTTGCATTGTCCCTGTATCCCATCAGGTCCAGAGGGGGCTGTCCCTGGACCTGAGATTTCGCATAAATAGTGATACCTGTGTGCCATTAAAGCCAGTTCTTTCTTGACCCTCAAATCGCAGCCTCAACTCGTTTTGTGGGTAAAAGGGTATCCTAGCTGTACCATAGCTAGTGGGATTATTCTACATTTACAGGATTCTTGTGGTATACTGACTGGAGTGGCTCTTCTCTATCTCTACACCGGGGAACCAGACTATCCAAGCGGTCCATCTTCCAGCTAGCCTGGAGGTAACCGTAACATAAAGGTCTACTCAATAAAGAGAGAATTGCAGGGAATTGAGAGATGAACTTCAACCTTTAGGCTGAAATAGTCCAGCTGAATGGGAGTATTGTTCCAAATCAGGCGACTTTGGCTTTAAGTTTAAAATTACCGTATCAATTCCCTGTAATTCTCCCTTTATTGAGTAGACCATGTGTTACAAAGTACTCTCTGTCTGCTAGCTTTTGCTACATTGATGCTGTTTATGTTGCTATAAATCCACCAAAAACCTTCCCCAGGTCATTCATATGAACGAATGACCGACCACCCGGCATATGGCGTGTGCTGCCTATTAACCACACAGAAACTGCGGTTTAACACTTGTTAACCTCCTTCACCTCTGAAGTACCGAACAAACTACCAAATAAAATACCGAATGACCGACTGTTACGGTTGCCTCCAGGCTAGCTGGAAGTTGGATATCCTGGTTCCTGAATCTGGAGAGTGAGAGAGCCGCTCCGATCAGCATACACTGGTACTCCTGTAAATGTAGAACATCCCACTAGCTATAGCAAAGCTAGGATACACCTTTCCCTACAACACGAGTTGAGACTGTGAGTTGGAGGTAAAACGAACTGATTTAATGGCACTTATGCATGGTAATTTATACAAGTTATCAGGCCAGAGGACAACCCTTCTGGACCTGATGGTACACTGGACAATGCAATGTCCCGACCAATAAGAGTACAGTGCATCTTATGAAAACACTTCCCCCTACCATGGAGATAATTGGTCCCAACGGTTACACTAACCTAATTATCTCCAAGTACATAAAATACCACATTTTATTACCCACATGAAAATAACATAAAAATACATAACTTTTACATTTTAACACTAAAATATCCCATTCGACCATTCTCTGGATAGCTCAGATCTGAGCGCACAAGATATACGAATGGCGCTCAGATCTCACGAATGGTGTGTAAGAATCAAAAAATTAAAGTCTTTTCGTATGGTGCAAACCAGAATCCGATTATAGTTCCAGGGTTTTTACGCTTAGGTCCCGCCAAGCATTCGATGACAAAAGATGGCCGCCGCCTCGTGTTCGGCAAAGGAACGGCAACCACCTTGGGATATGTACTTAGATTGTGGTTAACCCGCTGAAATTGGAGCCTAATTGGATTTGGAGGCACACTCAAAATTAAAGTGGAAAAACACACGCCAGCATCTCGGTGGTCATCGTTCGACAGTTCTTTCGTGGGTTTCGAGGTCAACGGGCTTAACTAGTGGCACACGCCAAGAGCCGGTTGGTTGGTCATTCATATATATGAATGACTTGTAGAATGGGTTCACATAAAACAAAGTATCTAAAGTGAAACAAAAGTATCTGAATGTATCCGACAGAGGGGATCTCTGCAACACCGACCACCCTACGGGAGGAGTGTGCCCCTTATTAGCCACCCAGGAGTTGCGGTTTGTGGTTAACCGCAGCCTAATTGACAATCTGTCACGGGTCCCGGCTCGCCGCGAGGCGCGTCTGTGCCTGACTGGCACGACCGCGCCAACATGCTGAGCTTACCTGCTTGGCGGCGAGCCGGGTACCGTTCCTCCGCGTCCTCATGTAGGTATGCCGAAATCAAAGATTGCGCCGACCATACGGTTGCGTCCATCAGTGGCTGCGCCCCCCAAAATTATACTAACGTGCGTGTGACGTACGTTCTGGGGTCAGAGGTCACCCTCTGACCAATCATAGCCTAGAGAGGGATATTTAAATCCCTGATTCACTCCAATACCTTGCCCTGTTGTGGTTTCCTGTCCCTGGTTCCCGAGAGTGCATTTTTCCTTGCCGTTATATTGATTCCGGTATTCCCTGTTACTCTGATTTCTGGTTTCCCTGACTTAGTTTGTTTAAATGGTATTTGTGTATTTTTGGCTTCCTAGACCTTGGCTTTCCTTTGACTATACTCTGTCTCTAGCGTATTAGTCTGGCCATTCTAAGGACTGATTTATGCACTTACATTTTATTTCCTTTCTACCTTCTATGTATATGTTACATAGTTCTGCGTGTTGGACCACACTAGCAGTCGTGACATTATGACAGGGCCATGGATCATGCAGACCTATGTAAACATATGATAGCCTGTGAAAGAAGAGTGAAGGATATGGATCACAGGTTGGATCAATTTGCTCAGTGAAACGGCACCCCAGGCATAAAAGGGGTTAAAGCCGTTTAGGAGATATTCCCTTTCCAGATACAAAGGCAGCTACCGAATACACCAAAAGCCGAACAAGAAAAACCATATGAAAGGTTTACACTGCAAACAGCCGAACAGGAAAACCATACGAATAATCACCCCAAGTATGAGACGAGGCTCTGTATTGAGGGTCAGCAGGAATCTATTTAATGGAAGCAAGCACTCACAATTTATACAATTCCTCAGGCCAAAGGCACACCCCCTGGACCTGATGGTACACATGCACACAAAGGACACAAACCAATCAAAACAATACAATGTTTGACACTACCATTCATTACAGCAAAATCCTCCCTTCTTCCTATGATATAATTACTGAACACAATGGGCTAACGTAATTATCACAGGCAGGAAAATATACAGTTTTAAACAATATTCATAACTTTAAAAGTATACATCACATTCACATAAAACTTACTTACAAACATATGTCAAAATCATACAAATTGGTCCAGTGGTTCAAAAGTTATATGGAAGTCCTTTGTGACCGACTGCAAGCATGGCTTTCCAGCCCAAACCAGTTCTACAGCGTTAGGCTGTGCAGACGGTTTATCTTCTCCTCTATCCTGGAGATAATTGGCTTAACTGGTTGTGGTAAGCCAACTATCTCCAGGTACAGAAAATATCTCTATTCACAACAACAGCAAAAATACACAAAAATACATAAATCCTATCATACTGAACAGAACCCCCACATTCAACCTATCCCCAGATAGCTTGGATCTGAGCGCTCAATATTTCCAAACAGCGCTCAGATCCCACAAACACAGTCAAATCGCCATGGGGTTAAAGTTTAGCACGGGCTGATGAGAGGTTGAGGAGGGACAAAGCAGCCAGTTTCATTTAAAGTGCCAGAACAGTCTTTTAAACACCAATAAGTCCAAATAGTGTTTTTAACTGGCAAAGTCTCCCAGGGACCATAGTCACATGGCAAGAGGCTGGCAATTAGTCCTCTCCAGGCACAAGTGGCGAAGGGCATAATACTTCATAATACTGTTAGGAATTACTGCAAAAAAATGCACATATTTGTAATCAGCGATTTCTCACGAGTACAACAGTACCCCTCATTAACAGGTTTTATGGTGTTTTGGAAAGTTACAGGGTCAAATATAGAACATTTCATTTTCAAATTGAAATTTGCCAGATTAGTAATGTTACCTTTGAGACGGTGTGGTAGCCCAGGAATGAGAATTACCCCCATAATGGCATACCATTTGAAAAAGTAGACACACACACATACACACCACACACACACATACAGACCACACACACATACAGTTCAATTGCCATGGAGCCAAAGTCTTTTATTACCTGAATAGGTTCCATGGCATAGCTATCTGAGTTATATGAGTTCATTCAGTAAATCCGAGAATCTACCGAACACCAGGGCAGAAAACATGAATAGACCTTTCTGCATAGGAAAATAAAGTATTTAAATGCTGGTCCATAGTCAAAAGGCAGCAGGCAGACAACCAGGCTCCTCCAATGCACTGTGTGAGATTGGTCTCATTACATCTCTCCCCTTTTCCAAACAGACTAACAAGGTATCTGACCTCCTGCCGGTCAGTGCCCTGGTTAGTCCAGCAGCCCACCCCCAAAACAGAAACAGCAGTAGAGCCCACCCACAATAAATGGTTACTACACCTGAGTAAGGGAGAAACTTGTCCATGTCCAGGTGCCAGCACTACCACGGGAGGAGTCTGGATGGAGTCTGGTTGCTGGAGGAGGTGACCGACTGTCTCCCCTTTAGATACCCAGCTCTGCTGCTGAAGGGGGAGACCGCCTGTCTCCCCTTTAGATACACAGCTCCGCTGCCGGAGGGGGAGACCGACTGTCTCCCTTTTGGCTAAACAGCCCTGTCACTGGGGCAGGACCGACCGTTCCTACCCCCTGTGCTGTAAGTGCAGAGACCACGGTCCCATCTGCATGGTTGTGGGGCTTACTGTCTCCCCCTAGTACGTTAAGCTGCCGCTAGGGAGAGGAGGTAACAAGCTCCTCTCCCATACATACTTCCAGCCGCGAGGGAGGGAGACCGACTGTCTCCGCTCCCAATACAGAGTCCTGCTGCTGGGAAAAGGAGACTGGGCTCTCTATTCCCTGTAGGACACTCTGCCGCTGGGGAATGGAGACTGGGCACCCAATTCCCTGCAATTCACTCTGCTGCTGGGGGACAGGAGCAACTATCTCTGTCCCCTGTAACTCAGCCTGCTGCTGGGGAATGGAGACTGGGCTCCCAATTCCCAATAAATCATACTGCCGCTGAGGAATGGAGACTGGGCTCCCAATTCCCAATAAATCATACTGCCGCTGGGGAATGGACACTGGGCTCCCAAGTCCCTGCCGATCACACTGCCGCTGGGGAATGGAGACTGGGCTCCCAATTCCCTGTAGTACCTGCTGCTGGAGTTCCTC